GTGGTTACTTGTGGTTCTTTGGGTACTGGAGGGAAACTAGAGATGGCAGAAAGATTGAGATTTGGCTGTTTCTGTCATGCATGGCTTCTGGGGACTCAAGATACAGTGATCCCTGGATCCAGGACCTCCCGCAATAAGTGAAAAACCGCAATGTAGCGACACTATATTTATTTTAATATTTATACATTATTTTAGTAGTTATACACTATTTTAAGTCTTTAGAAACTTAAAATAAAGTGAAGGGAAGGAAGGAAAGGCCCTTCAAGGCTGGAGGGAAAGCGCCTTGGAGAACGATGGTGGCAAAAACCCACAAAACAGCGAAAATACCACAATATATATTTTAAATTAATATTTTTTTTAAACCGTGAAACAGTGAGTCCACTAAAAGCGAACTGCGAAGTAGCGAGGGAACGTTGTGTTGTTATACTGTGACCGCCACAGATTTGTCTCTTACATCTGTTCAAGACACACCTGTGTTGTGTTTCTCAATTGTGAACCCAAATATATTGGTATTTCCAATGAATAGAAGATAACAGTTTATTTCCAGACGTAGGATTGACCCCCTCCCATATTTATTTATTTGTTTACAATATTTCTATCTCGCCTTTCTCAGCCCGAAGGCGACTCAAGGTGGCTTACAAATTGGCAGCAGTTTGATGCCATAATAGTCATAAAATACAATTTAAACATTTAAAACAACATTATAAAAATCCATACAAAACGATTAAAAACATATACAGTGTCCCCTCACTTATCGCAGGTGTTCCGTTCCAAGCTTTCAAAGGCTTGTTTAAAGAGCCATGTTTTTACTTTTTTTTTTTTTTTGGAAAGTCAGAGTCTAATGTCCCTACAGAGAGAGTTCCACAGCTGAGGGGCCACCACTGAGAAGGCCCTGTTCCTCATCCCTGCCAAACAGACCTGCGAAGAAGGCAGGATCGAGAGCAGAGCCTCCCCAGATGATCTTAAATTCCTAGATGGTTCGTAAGGAGAGATACATTCACATACGCTCATTCATAGGAACATAGCTTCCAGGTCAAGACAAGTAATTGTCCTGATTTTCAAGAAGAGGGAAACAGAGGACCCAAACAGTGACCTGTGTCCAGTCAGCCTGACCTCAAGAATAGGACAGATTCTGGAGCAGATCATTTAGGAGGCAGTCTGCAGTCACTTAGAAAGGAATGCTGTGATTACTAAAAGTCAGCATGGATTTCTCAAAAACAAGTCATGCCAGGCTAATTTCTCGATAGAGTTACAAGCTTGGTAGATGCAGGGAATGCCCATTAAAGTGTATATTGTGAGTGACTGAGAAATAGCTGACATCTCCATTTTCTGACGTGATGAATGCTTCATTTTCTTTCTAGGTCTGGAAAACTAATCAGTTCATATTACAACATTTCATGCTGGCCACTGTGGTATATTGGTAAGTACCTTGATTTCTGAAACTCCCTGCCTTTCTCCATTATCCAGCGGCAGGGAGTTTCAGAAAAACCTCTATTTCTGCTTCATTGACTCTTCTAAAGCCTTTGACTGTGTGGATCATAATAAATTGTGGCAAGTTCTTGGTGGGATGGGCATCCCAAGCCCCCTTCCCTCTCTCCTGAGGAATCTGTACAAGGACCAAGGAGCAACAGTCAGAACTGACCACGGAACAACAGACTGGTTCAAGATTGGGAAAGGCGTACGGCAAGGCTGCATCCTCTCACCCAACCTTTTTAACTTGTATGCAGAACACATCATGCGAGGATGTGCGGGGCTGGATGAATGCAAAGCTGGGGTGAAAATTGCTGGAAGAAACATTCACAACCTCAGATATGCAGATGACACCACTCTGATGGCCGAAAGCGAGGAGGAGCTGAGGAGCCTTCTAATCAAGGTGAAAGAAGAAAGCGCAAAAGCCGGGTTGCAGCTAAACATCAAAAAAACCAAGATTATGGCAACAAGAATGATTGACAACTGGGAAATAGAGGGAGAAAATGTGGAGGCAGTGACAGACTTTGTATTTCTAGGCGCAAAGATTACTGCAGATGCAGACTGTGGCCAGGAAATCAGAAGACGCTTCCTTCTTGGGAGGAGAGCAATGTCCAATCTCGATAAAATAGTAAAGAGTAGAGACATCAGACTGGCAACAAAGATCCATTGCCTAGTCAAAGCCATGGTCTTCCCTGTAGTCACCGACGGATGTGAGAGCTGGACCTTAGGGAAGGCTGAGCGAAGGAAGATCGATGCTTTTGAGCTGTGGTGTTGGAGGAAAGTTCTGAGAGTGCCTTGGACTGCGAGAAGATCCAACCAGTCCATCCTCCAGGAAATAAAGCCCGACTGCTCATTGGAGGGAAGGATACTAGAGACAAAGTTGAAGTCCTTTGGCCACATCATGAGGAGACAGCAAAGCCTAGAGAAGACAATTATGCTGGGGAAAGTGGAAGGCAAAAGGAAGAGGGGCCGACCAAGGGCAAGATGGATGGATGGCATCCTTGAAGTGACTGGACTGACCTTGAAGGAGCTGGGGGTGGTGACGGCCGACAGGGAGCTCTGGCGTGGGCTGGTCCATGAGGTCACGAAGAGTCAGAGACGACTGAACGAATGAACAACAACCTTGATTTCATTCTGCTTTGGTACCTCAGGATGCTTGAGGTGATTCAAAAAATGGAATTTATCCAAATTATATAACTTTTCTGAGTAGGTGGCCTCTTGCTTTATTTTCCTAGTTTTACGATACAGTGCAAACCCCATATCTGTGGAGGAATACATTTCTGGAAGCATACAAGAATAATAGTAATAATAATAATAATAATAATAATAATAATAATAATAATAATAATACACTTTATTTATAACTTGACACCATCTCCCTAAAGGGGACTCGGGGTGGCTAACATGAGGCCAAGCCCAAAATAATACAACATAATAAACACACAATAACAAAATACATCATAACAAAATGTGAAATAACAAAATCAACAATATAAAACAGCATATTAAAACCTTCCTTCTCTTCCTTCCTTCCTTCCTTTCTTCCCTACTTCCTTCCTTCTTTCCTTCCTTCCTTCCTTCCTTCCTTCCTTCCTTCCTTCCTTCTTTCCCCTCTCCTTCTCCCTCTCTCGCTCTCCTCCAACGGTGGCATGCACCCCAAGCCGTGGCCCACAGGTTGGGAGCCACTGGTATCAATGGCTGCTGTACTCTTCTTGTTTTATTCCAGAGCTGGCCTTTGCCTCGCTGTTCAGCCTCAACGCCTTATTTGATTTCTGGCGATACTTCAAGTACACCGTGGCCCCAACCAGCTTGGTGATGAGTCCTGGGCAGCAAACCGTCCTGGGTTTACAAAATGCAGGTAGGGGCCTTCTCTCCTATCATTCAAGAAATACATATTCTAGAAAGCGGGTGTATTATTTACATAGACATCAATAGAAACACCTGACACTTTGGTGATGGGAATTCTTTATTTTGTGAACTTTAATGAGGAACAACGGGAGTCGTTTCCTTACTTGAAATCAGACTCAGATCTGCAAGCCATTGCTGCTTATCTCCTGCTAGTGTTCTCTACACACGGAAAGGTGTAAAGAACAGTCTGTGTATATGTTTTTATGTGTGTATATATTTGTGTATATGTTTATTTGTGTGTATATGTGTGTGTACGTGAGTATACATTTGTGTATTTCTGTGTTTATATGTGTATATATGCATTGTGTATATATGTGAGTATTAGGCCTGGGTAACAACGGAAAAATTTGTTTCTAAAATCGATTTGTATTTGGGGGTTTTTTTGTTTCGATATTTAAAATAATTACAAAATTTTCCTTTTAAAAAGTTTGATATTTACGAAATTTCGTAAATGGTAAAAAATTAACGAATCGATTTCCGAAACAATAACGAATCGATTCGTTGATGGCGGACGCGACCGCGAAATACGCTAAAAAACCTCCAAAACCTTCTGAAGCTTCCCTCTCCCTCTGTTGTTGACTGTTGGTGTGATATTATAATTTTTTTTCACTAATTAAACCATAAAACTGGCCCAGACATGCGGAAATAATAACGAAACGACCTCAAAACAATAACGAAACGAATACAATATCGAAATACGAAGCATTTACAAAACGTTTTTGAAAATTCGTTTTTTTAATAATTGCTCCAGAATGGTTCGTTATCGTTTTGTAATTGAAAAATTAACGAATTATTAACGAATTACGAATTAACGAAACGAAACCGCCCAGCCCTAGTGAGTATATATATTGTGTATATGTGTGTAGGTGTATATGTATGTGTGTGTATATAGGTGTATATTTGTGTGTGCTTGCATATATTATATATATATGCATGTGTCTGTATGTGTGCATGTGTGTATATATGTGTGTGCGTGTGTGTATATATATATATGTGTGTGTGTATATATATGTGTATATATATATGTGTGTGTTTGTGTGTATATATATATATATGTATGTAAATATATGTATATGAGAATGTGGAGCCCCCGGTGGCACAGTGGGTTAAAGCGCTGAGCTGCTGAGCTTGTTGACCGAAAGGTCGCAGGTTCAATTCCGGGGAGCAGAGTGAGCTTTCGCTGTCAGCCCTAGCTTCTGCCAACCTAGCAGTTCGAAAACATGCAAATGTGAGTAGATCAATAGGTACCGCTCCGGCGGGAAGGTAAGGGCGCTCCATGCAGTCATGCCGGCCACATGACCTTGGAGGTGTCTATGGACAACGGCAGCTCTTCGGCTTAGAAATGGAGATGAGCACCACACCCCAGAGTCAGACATGACTTGACTTAATGTCAGGGGACAACCTTTACCTTTTACCTTTTATATGAGAATGGATGTGTATATGTATATATGGTTTATTTTAGGGGGTTTTAAAGTCCGTTCTGCTGTTTTTGTGTATGTGTATGTGTATTTTTAGGGGTGATGGACTCTAATTGGACTATTAGCTATATTGTGTCAAAATGTCATGTCAATCCATCCAGTGGTTTTTGAGTTATGTTTCTCCCACAAACGAACTTTACATTTTTATTTATATAGATTGAATTCACAGTCTGTAGTGATAGCAGTCATAGGTAGTGGGTTCACGAGCAGGAGGGAAAAGGGTTTGTTATGATGCTGCAATGTTTTTGGGGTTTTTTTTATACTTATTGTAATACTTGTTTTTGTTTGTCACTGGTATGCATGCAATAAAAAACAAATAATACACAGTGGTTTTTGCAAGATGAACATATTGGGTTGTTGTAGGTTTTTCCAGGCTATATGGCCATGTTCTAGAGGCATTTTCTCCTGACGTTTTGCCTGCATCTATGGCAAGCATCCTCAGAGGTTGTGTCCACATCTCGCAGCATTTTCTCCTGATGTTTCGCTTGTATCTGCATTATTATGGGCAAGCTCACGTCACATTTATGCAGCATTTACTCCACATACATTCACTCAAATACATACCCACCATCCTTCTTCATTCATATATCACCAAATCACAACTCCCAGGGTTGCATAGCATCGAGCCACAGCACACAATGAATCTGATGATTACCTAGCTTGGGAAATAGCCAGAGGGATTTGCCCAAACGTTTCCATTTACAGGAGATTATCTGAAAAGGGTTACAGAGGGGTGTCTGTTTCTAAGTTACATTTGGATACATTTCTATGAAGCAGTTTATATACATTTCATAGATAAAAGAACTAGATCCAGTACACAATTGAAAGATAACTCTCACGACTCCATAGCATTGAGCAATAGTGTGATTTTAATAGTGAATTCAATGTTTTTTGTTTTAATGTGCATTTAATTCAGTCCATCTTGGAAGGAGGTGGGTGTTCACACTTTGCATTCCTCCTAGATCTGACACACCTTTCGAAGAGAAAAAGAGTCTCCTTATGTAGAACCTTTTTGTTGTTGTTGTTCTTGATCGAATGACAACTTGTCGTTCAACGAAGACTTGCTGAAGTTCCATCAATTCCACAACAGATGTTTTCATTCTTAACGTTAGGAGCCATTGGGTTGTTGTAGGTTTTTCAGGGCTATATGGCCATGTTCTAGAGGCATTTTCTCCTGACGTTTCGCCTGCATCTATGGCAAGCATCCTCAGAGGTTGTGTCCACAACCTCTGAGGATGCTTGCCATAGATGCAGGCGAAACGTCAGGAGAAAATGCCTCTAGAACATGGCCATATAGCCCTGAAAAACCTACAACAACCCAGTGATTCCGGCCATGAAAGCCTTCGACATTACATGAACATATTGTTTCACAAAGATTTTGCCAGCACCCTTTCTTACGTAAAGATCCCTCTCTCTTCCAGCGGTGCAGATCACTCCGGTGCACCAGCTGACCCCCAAGAA